AATATTTTTTTTTAAATTTTCATGTGTTTGGTTAACATGAAAAGAAAAATGATGGAAAAGATAATTTTCCTTCATACTTGAATTTTCTAAAAGAAAATCAACTTTTTTTTCTTGTAAAAAACAAGAAAATCAAGGAAATTGTGATGTATAACTAACTTTCTATTTTATCTTTTATTTTTATTAACATATTTTATTGGTTATTAATTTTAAAAATTTTGGTATGAATTTGATTAATCATATAATTTGGTCTAAAAAACTTTGTATTGGTGATTATTTTAAAATTAAGTTTCGAGCTATTTTTTTAAAAAAATTTAACTTTCAATTATAATTTCATATTTTTTTTCTTTTTTAGACCGATTTAATATAATTAAGGGTAATTTAGACAATTAAAAAAAAATATTATAACTTTTCTTTCTTTCAAACAATAGAATGAAAATTTTTAAAATTTTTCAATAAAATTTTCATTTTAACCAATTACATTTATAAAAATATATTTCTATCATTTTTTTTTCTTTCACTTTACTTTCTATCATTTTCATTTTCATCATTTTTTCCTCCTAACCAAATGAACCCGAGTAGTTATGTTTAATTAAAATAAATTTGAAAACTAACAACTCTTAAATTTTTTGAGTTTGACTAATACTAAAATTATCTCTCTCTCATATCTATCTATTTATAAAATATGACTATTTATTTCTCTATTCATATATATATACTTAAACAAAAAAAATAATAATATTTAAAAAAAAAAAATAATAACACTGAATATTAATATTTGAGAACATGAACAATAATATGGTAAAAAATATATATATAATATAAAAGAGAGAGAATATCAATTGTTCTTTAAATTTGAATTTCAAATTTATTGGCATATCCTCACTGATAATAAATTAAGAAATAATAATTCTAAAGTTAAGAAACTAATTTAAAGTTGCTTTCAAGTAAGGGTATTTTAGAGTTTTAGTGAATTTAAATACTTATTAGTAAAATTAAAAATGAACGTATTTCTAAATAAATTTCTTTGACGGACTAAACTCATTATAAGTCCCTTAAGAAAGATTCAGCCTCAATTTTCACATTAATTTAATTGAGGGGTGTAATTTGAAATAATTGTTCTTTGAAGGTGCAAATTGAAAATTTTGTAATCTTTCGGGTGCATACTCCCATTCACTTTCTTTTCTTTTTTTTCTGTCATTATCATGTCACTGTTGTTTGCAAAGCTCTTAAATAAATGCTGAATGGGTCACTGTTGAATTGAATATTCAAAATTCAAAACACTAACAAAAGTCTCCCCCAACTACGCGGTAATCATTTACAGACAAAAGAGGCACCAATTTCGATTGATTTGTGGGCTTGTAGGTAGTGTGTTCAATCTGGATCCGAATAGTACGTGAATGTTTTGCTCGTGATTCGGACGATCCATCGAAATTGGTGGGTCAATGACGAAGTCCAAGAAAAACTAGAGAGATTGAAGAGTAATCTCTGTGAGAGAGAGAGGGAGAGGTGGACACGATCTGGAATGTTTGTTGGCTGAATTCAAGGAGTGTTTGGCAGAAAAGAAAAAAAAAAGGGAAAATTACCCATGTTCTTGGATCGGCCGTAGAAGAAACTTTCGGGAATTGAGTTTGAGAGAGAGAGAGAGAGTATTGGATCAGCTGCAGGAACCTTCTGAGCACAGAGAGAGAGATAGAGATGAACTTTACAAATTGATTTGATAGACTGATCTGAGAAAATCAATTGTATAGGACACAGTTGAACATAGATTCAGATACCCACACAGAGAACTGTGTCTGTGAGAGACCCAATTTGCATATTTGTTATTGGATTGATCTGAAAGAAGAGCAATGGTTCCTGAACATAATTCACCATAGATTCACTCTCTCACACTCATACGCACAACGAGAGAGAGGGAGAAGCAGAGTGTATTGTTCAGGTACTATTCTACTGCTAACATGAGCAGCAAAGAACCAGCGAAGCTCGACGATGAGCAAATCGCCGAGCTCCGAGAAATTTTCCGATCATTCGATCGAAACAACGACGGAAGCCTAACCCAACTCGAACTCGGCTCCTTACTACGCTCCCTCGGCCTAAAACCAAGCCCCGATCAGCTCGAAACACTGATACAAAAAGCAGACAAGAATAGCAACGGCCTAATCGAGTTCTCGGAGTTCGTGGCACTGGTGGCGCCGGAACTTCTCGAGGCGAAATCGCCCTACACGGAGGAGCAATTAAAGCAGTTGTTCAGGATGTTTGATAGAGATGGAAATGGGTTTATCACGGCGGCGGAGTTGGCTCACTCGATGGCGAAGTTGGGCCACGCTTTGACGGCGGAGGAGCTCACCGGAATGATCAAGGAGGCTGATACGGATGGAGATGGGAGGATTAGTTTTCAGGAGTTCTCTCAGGCGATCACTTCGGCTGCTTTTGACAATTCATGGGCTTGAATTTAGGGAATGAGTTTGTCAGGTATGTCTTGCTCTGAATTTTGTTTCTGTTTCCAATTTGTTGCATTTTCTATTGGCACTGTCTGTATATGAGATTTTGGTAAACCAATCTTGTGGATCTATTGAAAAATTGCTAGAAGTAGATCTGAACATAGTTGGGTGTCTATACAATTCCCTTTTCTATGTTCCATTCAGTGCTAGAACACTTGTTTGGGACCCACTTCTGGATAATGGGTCGTTGTTAAATTTAGTAAAAGTGTACTGGAGATATCCTAATTCTTGACATAGGGATGGGTTGTTTATACTGATTTCTAGTTTTTCGGATTGGAATCCTCTACTATTGCTTTTCTATGTTCCATTTAGTGGTAGATCACTTGGTGGGGACCCACTTGTGGATAATGGGTCGTCATTTTTTTTTGGTCAGGAGATAATGGGTCGTCATTGAATTCAGTAAAAGTGTATTAGATGTGATCATAGTTCTTGCCTTTTAGTGTAAAGCGACAATGCTTGACGTGAGTAGGATCATTATTGATCTTTGAGTGATTGACATTTAGGATTTAACCATTCAATCCAAGGTGGGTAGGGTCTTCAATGAACTCCAATATCCGAGAGGCATGACCTACTAAATTCATAGATGGTATCTTCTTGCATTTTGAAGAATCAAAATCCCAGCTGTCAAACAATCTATGGAGGCCCTGCACTTAAAAGAAGAATGATGAACTGCTTAGCTTGTCTAGTTTTAGTCTACAATGCATTATTTGAAGGGGTAAAAATGCAGACAGATTTATGATCAGTTGTGTTATGCAAAGAAATTATGTCACAACTTGTGTTGATGAACATGGATGTGTGTGATTTAGAGGTCCTAACTAAATGGCACAAACACTACTGACCATGACCATCTTGTTCTGAACCCTCCTTTTTGAAGGGTAGGATATTGGTTATTTCTACTAGATAGCACATCAATGAGCCGACCACATGCTAAGACAAGGTCAAGGGAGAGGAAAAAACTGGGTATAAATTTGTTTACGAGGACACAAATGGTCAAAATAAGAGCCAAAATGATGGTTACTTGTTATCCTTCATCACTTAGTAAACGCACAGATTTCATTAATGTTTTTGGCGCTTTGGACTTTTCATTCTTACATACCAAGTTGGGTAGATGGCTGCATAAACATTGTGCAACACAGCAATCTCTTGCGTTGAAATTTGATATAGGAGAGTACAAAATTTTTTGGACTTGGGACGATAGTAATTACTCATCTGCCCAAACGTTAATGTCTTTGGTCAGAATTATATGAAGGAGCTAGCTTTTGGGCAATGAGTACGACGATGGTGTAAAATTTTTTCCACTGTGTTTAGGGGGGGTACCACTTGTGATTCCCAGGCCATTCGTGAGTTATTCGATGTTGTAAGGTATAAAGCAAGACTTGATTGTCCTGAATCACCAACTCTGTGTATTCGTTTGTTGCAGGTCAGGCATTGCTGATGAAATAGTTTGCCAGCCGATGGTTAGATCCATATGTGCTGCACAGTGCAGAACTTTACTTTGACAATGCAGAGCTGATTCAACTTGCCCATCAACCATTTCTCCCATCTGTAAGGATGCAACAACTGAGTCATTAGCCCTTAATCCCTTCTCCTTGGCTTGAAATTGAGGCTTCTTTTCATAATATATATACCAAGTTTTTCGAATTGGTCTATGTACCTATGTTTAAACAGGGTAATTGGATATCTTGGTGAAGAAAATCCTTCTGTTTGACCTTTCCCTTCTGCTCTAATAAAAGCACTACTTTTGCTAACTTTTGGTCTCTCCCCCCCCCCCCCCCCCCTTCTATCTCTCTATTCTATTTCCATGGCTGACAGAGTATATAAAGTTTTTTGCCAGTCTCTGTGGTTAAATATGGTTATTGGTCCAGCCAACAAAACTATGTTAAAATATGAAATATCTCAGGCAGCTTTACTTCTTTGGGTTCGGTAACAATACTGTTTACCCATTATTTCTCAAAATTATCTGAAGGATCCAATTCCATTGAATATAGATCCTTCAGATAATTTTGAGAAATAATGGGTAAACAGTATTGTTACCGAACCCAAAGAAGTAAAGCTGCCTGAGATATTTCATATTTTAACATAGTTTTGTTGGCTGGACCAATAACCATATTTAACCACAGAGACTGGCAAAAAACTTTATATACTCTGTCAGCCATGGAAATAGAATAGAGAGATAGAAGGGGGGGGGGGGGGGGGGGGAGAGACCAAAAGTTAGCAAAAGTAGTGCTTTTATTAGAGCAGAAGGGAAAGGTCAAACAGAAGGATTTTCTTCACCAAGATATCCAATTACCCTGTTTAAACATAGGTACATAGACCAATTCGAAAAACTTGGTATATATATTATGAAAAGAAGCCTCAATTTCAAGCCAAGGAGAAGGGATTAAGGGCTAATGACTCAGTTGTTGCATCCTTACAGATGGGAGAAATGGTTGATGGGCAAGTTGAATCAGCTCTGCATTGTCAAAGTAAAGTTCTGCACTGTGCAGCACATATGGATCTAACCATCGGCTGGCAAACTATTTCATCAGCAATGCCTGACCTGCAACAAACGAATACACAGAGTTGGTGATTCAGGACAATCAAGTCTTGCTTTATACCTTACAACATCGAATAACTCACGAATGGCCTGGGAATCACAAGTGGTACCCCCCTAAACACAGTGGAAAAAATTTACACCATCGTCGTACTCATTGCCCAAAAGCTAGCTCCTTCATATAATTCTGACCAAAGACATTAACGTTTGGGCAGATGAGTAATTACTATCGTCCCAAGTCCAAAAAATTTTGTACTCTCCTATATCAAATTTCAACGCAAGAGATTGCTGTGTTGCACAATGTTTATGCAGCCATCTACCCAACTTGGTATGTAAGAATGAAAAGTCCAAAGCGCCAAAAACATTAATGAAATCTGTGCGTTTACTAAGTGATGAAGGATAACAAGTAACCATCATTTTTGGCTCTTATTTTGACCATTTGTGTCCTCGTAAACAAATTTATACCCAGTTTTTTCCTCTCCCTTGACCTTGTCTTAGCATGTGGTCGGCTCATTGATGTGCTATCTAGTAGAAATAACCAATATCCTACCCTTCAAAAAGGAGGGTTCAGAACAAGATGGTCATGGTCAGTAGTGTTTGTGCCATTTAGTTAGGACCTCTAAATCACACACATCCATGTTCATCAACACAAGTTGTGACATAATTTCTTTGCATAACACAACTGATCATAAATCTGTCTGCATTTTTACCCCTTCAAATAATGCATTGTAGACTAAAACTAGACAAGCTAAGCAGTTCATCATTCTTCTTTTAAGTGCAGGGCCTCCATAGATTGTTTGACAGCTGGGATTTTGATTCTTCAAAATGCAAGAAGATACCATCTATGAATTTAGTAGGTCATGCCTCTCGGATATTGGAGTTCATTGAAGACCCTACCCACCTTGGATTGAATGGTTAAATCCTAAATGTCAATCACTCAAAGATCAATAATGATCCTACTCACGTCAAGCATTGTCGCTTTACACTAAAAGGCAAGAACTATGATCACATCTAATACACTTTTACTGAATTCAATGACGACCCATTATCTCCTGACCAAAAAAAAATGACGACCCATTATCCACAAGTGGGTCCCCACCAAGTGATCTACCACTAAATGGAACATAGAAAAGCAATAGTAGAGGATTCCAATCCGAAAAACTAGAAATCAGTATAAACAACCCATCCCTATGTCAAGAATTAGGATATCTCCAGTACACTTTTACTAAATTTAACAACGACCCATTATCCAGAAGTGGGTCCCAAACAAGTGTTCTAGCACTGAATGGAACATAGAAAAGGGAATTGTATAGACACCCAACTATGTTCAGATCTACTTCTAGCAATTTTTCAATAGATCCACAAGATTGGTTTACCAAAATCTCATATACAGACAGTGCCAATAGAAAATGCAACAAATTGGAAACAGAAACAAAATTCAGAGCAAGACATACCTGACAAACTCATTCCCTAAATTCAAGCCCATGAATTGTCAAAAGCAGCCGAAGTGATCGCCTGAGAGAACTCCTGAAAACTAATCCTCCCATCTCCATCCGTATCAGCCTCCTTGATCATTCCGGTGAGCTCCTCCGCCGTCAAAGCGTGGCCCAACTTCGCCATCGAGTGAGCCAACTCCGCCGCCGTGATAAACCCATTTCCATCTCTATCAAACATCCTGAACAACTGCTTTAATTGCTCCTCCGTGTAGGGCGATTTCGCCTCGAGAAGTTCCGGCGCCACCAGTGCCACGAACTCCGAGAACTCGATTAGGCCGTTGCTATTCTTGTCTGCTTTTTGTATCAGTGTTTCGAGCTGATCGGGGCTTGGTTTTAGGCCGAGGGAGCGTAGTAAGGAGCCGAGTTCGAGTTGGGTTAGGCTTCCGTCGTTGTTTCGATCGAATGATCGGAAAATTTCTCGGAGCTCGGCGATTTGCTCATCGTCGAGCTTCGCTGGTTCTTTGCTGCTCATGTTAGCAGTAGAATAGTACCTGAACAATACACTCTGCTTCTCCCTCTCTCTCGTTGTGCGTATGAGTGTGAGAGAGTGAATCTATGGTGAATTATGTTCAGGAACCATTGCTCTTCTTTCAGATCAATCCAATAACAAATATGCAAATTGGGTCTCTCACAGACACAGTTCTCTGTGTGGGTATCTGAATCTATGTTCAACTGTGTCCTATACAATTGATTTTCTCAGATCAGTCTATCAAATCAATTTGTAAAGTTCATCTCTATCTCTCTCTCTGTGCTCAGAAGGTTCCTGCAGCTGATCCAATACTCTCTCTCTCTCTCTCAAACTCAATTCCCGAAAGTTTCTTCTACGGCCGATCCAAGAACATGGGTAATTTTCCCTTTTTTTTTTCTTTTCTGCCAAACACTCCTTGAATTCAGCCAACAAACATTCCAGATCGTGTCCACCTCTCCCTCTCTCTCTCACAGAGATTACTCTTCAATCTCTCTAGTTTTTCTTGGACTTCGTCATTGACCCACCAATTTCGATGGATCGTCCGAATCACGAGCAAAACATTCACGTACTATTCGGATCCAGATTGAACACACTACCTACAAGCCCACAAATCAATCGAAATTGGTGCCTCTTTTGTCTGTAAATGATTACCGCGTAGTTGGGGGAGACTTTTGTTAGTGTTTTGAATTTTGAATATTCAATTCAACAGTGACCCATTCAGCATTTATTTAAGAGCTTTGCAAACAACAGTGACATGATAATGACAGAAAAAAAAGAAAAGAAAGTGAATGGGAGTATGCACACCGAAAGATTACAAAATTTTCAATTTGCACCTTCAAAGAACAATTATTTCAAATTACACCCCTCAATTAAATTAATGTGAAAATTGAGGCTGAATCTTTCTTAAGGGACTTATAATGAGTTTAGTCCGTCAAAGAAATTTATTTAGAATACGTTCATTTTTAATTTTACTAATAAGTATTTTAAATTCACTAAAACTCTAAATACCCTTACTTGAAAGCAACTTTAAATTAGTTTTCTTAACTTTAGAATTATTATTTCTTAATTTATTATCAGTGAAGATATGCCAATAAATTTTTTTAAATAAATTTGAAATTCAAATTTAAAGAACAATTGATATTCTCTCTCTTTTATATTATATATATAAATTTTTTTTACCATATTATTGTTCATGTTCTCAAATATTAATATTCAGTGTTATTATTTTTTTATTTTTAAATATTATTATTTTTGTTGTTTAAGTATATATATGAATAGAGAAATAAATAGTCATATTTTTATAAATAGATAGATATGAGAGAGAGATAATTTTTAGTATTAGTCAAACTCAAAAAATTTAAGAGTTGTTAGTTTTCAAATTTATTTTAATTAAACATAACTACTCGGGTTCATTTGGTTAGGAGGAAAAAATGATGAAAAATGAAAATGATAGTCTATCATTTTCATTTTTCATCATTTTTTCCTCCTAACCAAATGAACCCGAGTAGTTATGTTTAATTAAAATAAATTTGAAAACTAACAACTCTTAAATTTTTTGAGTTTGACTAATACTAAAATTATCTCTCTCTCATATCTATCTATTTATAAAATATGACTATTTATTTCTCTATTCATATATATACTTAAACAACAAAAATAATAATATTAAAAATAAAAAAATAATAACACTGAATATTAATATTTGAGAACATGAACAATAATATGGTAAAAAAATTTATATATATAATATAAAAGAGAGAGAATATCAATTGTTCTTTAAATTTGAATTTCAAATTTATTTAAAAAATTTATTGGCATATCTTCACTGATAATAAATTAAGAAATAATAATTCTAAAGTTAAGAAACTAATTTAAAGTTGCTTTCAAGTAAGGGTATTTTAGAGTTTTAGTGAATTTAAATACTTATTAGTAAAATTAAAAATGAACGTATTTCTAAATAAATTTCTTTGACGGACTAAACTCATTATAAGTCCCTTAAGAAAGATTCAGCCTCAATTTTCACATTAATTTAATTGAGGGGTGTAATTTGAAATAATTGTTCTTTGAAGGTGCAAATTGAAAATTTTGTAATCTTTCGGTGTGCATACTCCCATTCACTTTCTTTTCTTTTTTTTCTGTCATTATCATGTCACTGTTGTTTGCAAAGCTCTTAAATAAATGCTGAATGGGTCACTGTTGAATTGAATATTCAAAATTCAAAACACTAACAAAAGTCTCCCCCAACTACGCGGTAATCATTTACAGACAAAAGAGGCACCAATTTCGATTGATTTGTGGGCTTGTAGGTAGTGTGTTCAATCTGGATCCGAATAGTACGTGAATGTTTTGCTCGTGATTCGGACGATCCATCGAAATTGGTGGGTCAATGACGAAGTCCAAGAAAAACTAGAGAGATTGAAGAGTAATCTCTGTGAGAGAGAGAGGGAGAGGTGGACACGATCTGGAATGTTTGTTGGCTGAATTCAAGGAGTGTTTGGCAGAAAAGAAAAAAAAAAGGGAAAATTACCCATGTTCTTGGATCGGCCGTAGAAGAAACTTTCGGGAATTGAGTTTGAGAGAGAGAGAGAGAGTATTGGATCAGCTGCAGGAACCTTCTGAGCACAGAGAGAGAGATAGAGATGAACTTTACAAATTGATTTGATAGACTGATCTGAGAAAATCAATTGTATAGGACACAGTTGAACATAGATTCAGATACCCACACAGAGAACTGTGTCTGTGAGAGACCCAATTTGCATATTTGTTATTGGATTGATCTGAAAGAAGAGCAATGGTTCCTGAACATAATTCACCATAGATTCACTCTCTCACACTCATACGCACAACGAGAGAGAGGGAGAAGCAGAGTGTATTGTTCAGGTACTATTCTACTGCTAACATGAGCAGCAAAGAACCAGCGAAGCTCGACGATGAGCAAATCGCCGAGCTCCGAGAAATTTTCCGATCATTCGATCGAAACAACGACGGAAGCCTAACCCAACTCGAACTCGGCTCCTTACTACGCTCCCTCGGCCTAAAACCAAGCCCCGATCAGCTCGAAACACTGATACAAAAAGCAGACAAGAATAGCAACGGCCTAATCGAGTTCTCGGAGTTCGTGGCACTGGTGGCGCCGGAACTTCTCGAGGCGAAATCGCCCTACACGGAGGAGCAATTAAAGCAGTTGTTCAGGATGTTTGATAGAGATGGAAATGGGTTTATCACGGCGGCGGAGTTGGCTCACTCGATGGCGAAGTTGGGCCACGCTTTGACGGCGGAGGAGCTCACCGGAATGATCAAGGAGGCTGATACGGATGGAGATGGGAGGATTAGTTTTCAGGAGTTCTCTCAGGCGATCACTTCGGCTGCTTTTGACAATTCATGGGCTTGAATTTAGGGAATGAGTTTGTCAGGTATGTCTTGCTCTGAATTTTGTTTCTGTTTCCAATTTGTTGCATTTTCTATTGGCACTGTCTGTATATGAGATTTTGGTAAACCAATCTTGTGGATCTATTGAAAAATTGCTAGAAGTAGATCTGAACATAGTTGGGTGTCTATACAATTCCCTTTTCTATGTTCCATTCAGTGCTAGAACACTTGTTTGGGACCCACTTCTGGATAATGGGTCGTTGTTAAATTTAGTAAAAGTGTACTGGAGATATCCTAATTCTTGACATAGGGATGGGTTGTTTATACTGATTTCTAGTTTTTCGGATTGGAATCCTCTACTATTGCTTTTCTATGTTCCATTTAGTGGTAGATCACTTGGTGGGGACCCACTTGTGGATAATGGGTCGTCATTTTTTTTTGGTCAGGAGATAATGGGTCGTCATTGAATTCAGTAAAAGTGTATTAGATGTGATCATAGTTCTTGCCTTTTAGTGTAAAGCGACAATGCTTGACGTGAGTAGGATCATTATTGATCTTTGAGTGATTGACATTTAGGATTTAACCATTCAATCCAAGGTGGGTAGGGTCTTCATGAACTCCAATATCCGAGAGGCATGACCTACTAAATTCATAGATGGTATCTTCTTGCATTTTGAAGAATCAAAATCCCAGCTGTCAAACAATCTATGGAGGCCCTGCACTTAAAAGAAGAATGATGAACTGCTTAGCTTGTCTAGTTTTAGTCTACAATGCATTATTTGAAGGGGTAAAAATGCAGACAGATTTATGATCAGTTGTGTTATGCAAAGAAATTATGTCACAACTTGTGTTGATGAACATGGATGTGTGTGATTTAGAGGTCCTAACTAAATGGCACAAACACTACTGACCATGACCATCTTGTTCTGAACCCTCCTTTTTGAAGGGTAGGATATTGGTTATTTCTA